GCTGAGCTAAATCCCCAGCCCCAGTAAGTCCCTTCTTCGTTGTTACCTTGCAGTCCTTCACGTGCCAAAACCAACATCGTGTTAGTCTGCTGAATTAACAATACTTTTCTGCCATGTTCCTACCTTTTATAGTGGCCAAAGGAAGCCTCCTCTCCAGACTCGAACTTTCCAAGGCTGGCTTCCTCAGGAGAGTGTAAGGAAGTACTGTAAAATGTAACCCTCAGCTTGTTTTCTAAATCATGATCCACTAGGCCTGTCCTTCCCTCTACCTGGGATTAGCTTCTTTTCAGAGTTAAAAGGAGACAGAGAGTGCTTGAACTAGAGAAAAAAGGGATAAATAGAGAAAGGAAATGCTCTTAGTCTTTTGGTATAATCTGAACGACATTACTTGGTTGTCATTTACTTTGCTCTCCCTCCGTGTTAGAGAAGATGGGAACAGCTCCTCAGACCTGTCCTACTCATCACTGAGTTTATTGCTGTACATAAAAACCCAGTCACTAACTACCTCCTATAGAATTCGGGAAAAAGACTCTCATCAAACAATTTTATCCATACTCTTAAGAATTATTAAAAGTAGAGATATGATAAATATTCGATAAGAAAAAACTGAGATTTGCTGTGTATTTCCTTTAAAGGACATGATATAATCTAATACTTTCTTCATGAGTAAAATAAAAGACTATTTGAAATACTCACTACATGAATACATTACATTTTCTGAGAAAAGCGTTTTCATGATAAATCACTGTACCTGATATATGCCCGGACTTGACAGCCCCTAAACCAGCTCTGGATTTTAACTGCTGCATGATTCTCTTTTTTTCTAAATGCATCCACAACACTAAAAAACAAAAAGTTCAATAAGCATTTTATGAGTAACTCTGAGCAATGTAACTCTAAAGCAAGTCACTGTGAAACTTAATTGGTACTTTCCTCCAAAAATGATAATTATAATTCCAATGTCATTTAAATAATTAAACTAAAATAAATAAAAAACATTTCAAAAATAATGAGCTGTGTTTTAAGAATTAACCTTCCTCTGAGAAGCCACGTGCTTTCAACAGCTTTACTTTTTCCATTTTTATAATCGCCTATTTTGCAACTAATTAATTTAACAGTGAGTTTTATTAGGAAATAAAAAACAATTGTGTTATGATGTCATTATTTTAAAGCATAATTATTTGAATTTACTGTTTAAATGCCACTATGCATGTATCATGCAAGATTGAACTGCCTTCATAGTTAATGCATTCATCAGTTAAATAAACGGCCTCCATGTAAAACAAATCTAACATAGAATGTCTGCTCTGGCTAGCATTCTCAGAAGGTCCATTTACGGGGCCGAGCCATGGGACTCAGAAAGATTGGAAACCCAGTGTTTAGGTTTTGCTGAATCGTATACAGAAAAGGCTTAGTCATGCTAATCTCCATCTTCATTTTATGTACCGTGCTGTAACCGCTATCCCCCTCTCCCTTTCCCAATTAGTAGAGCGACATTGCTCATTACCGCTGAGGTCTAGAGTGCCCCCAAATCTCCAGTGTTCGGAGGTAGGGCCTTTGGAAAGACAGTGGATCACGGGGCATCATCCTCATCCTCAGTCCACTGACTGAGTTCCGAGCTGTTGGGAGGCGGGCCTGGCTGGGGTGAGTCACTCAGAAGGGACTGGAATGTTGTATGACTGGCTCCTCTCGCTTTGCGCTTCGCTTCTTGGTTGCCACGAAGTGAGTAGCTTTCCTCTGTTCAAGCCCTTGCACCACGCAGTTTGTGTCATGGAGCCTGCTGACCGTGGGCTGAACCGAAAGCCCCGATCAACCTTTCCTTTTTTCAACCGTGGGTCTCAGGCACTGTGTCCTTGCAGCCGTCTTTTTAAAAATGTTGCATAGAATATTTCATAAATACAGAAAGAGCATTTAGATGTATAAAGATACATGCTATAAAACAATAATTTTTTTAAAAAGTCAATTGTGTAAGTCCCACTGAGCCTAATAAATTTGATGCTGCCAATAATTATGAAGCTTTTTGTGTGTGCGTGTGGCATTTCACTCTCGCCCTTACCCATTTAGCCTTATCTGTCTGAAATTTGTGTTTTATCATTCCCTTGATAGACTTCCCAATGTATGCATCCCGAACAAATATTCCTAAACTCCTCATGGTTTTCATTTATACAAATGAGTTTATTCTGTATGGGTTCAAAGGCCAACTTGTTTGCTACTATTAATATGTATGAACCCTTAATATCACTGACATTGGATGCAGTGATGATTTGAAAACATAAATTTAATCATGCCTTTTCTTTCTGAAACCCTTTAATACCAATCTGCACAAAGCATCCCCAACCTCCTGAGGGAGTCCAGAACCCTCAGGATGTCCAAGTCTTTGCAGATGTGTCCTACACAGATTCTCCCAGGTCTTCGTTCCCCACTGCTCTCACACCGAGCCACTCCACTCCAAGATTCCTTGAGCATGCCACATTCCCTCTCACTTGTAGATCCTCACAAATGACCATTTCCTGTTGAAATGATTTTTCCAACCGTAACTTCCAGAAGGATTTATCTGCACAGTACTCTCAACTTCCTTCCACCTACTAACCACAACATCTTTACTGTGCTAGCTGGGCTCTCATCTTTCTCACGCCTGTCCTCCCACACACAGCGAAGCCTCTGATTCATTAGAGGAGCGCGGCAAATAATCGTGGGAAGAGAAAAGGGAAAATGGAATGAGGGAAGGAGGAAAGGAAAGAAGGAAGGGAAAGAGAAGTAGCCCCATCATGTTTTTCCATACATGACATTTTTACATATTTTCTGTCACGTCCTGCTGTTGACTAGGGTAAGATTTCAGAGGAACAGGAAATTCCCCATTTGGGGCTGGGGATTTAGCTCAGAGGCACAGCGCCTGCCCAGCAAGCACAAGGTCATGAGTTCCATTCCTGGTACTGGAAGAAAACAAACAAACAAACAAATACCCCATTCTCTGAAATCCATGGACTGCCATCTTGTTTCCGTGACTTCTCCACAGCATTTCACAGGTAATTTTGGTCTCTCCTCTTGATGCCTTCCACTCAGCTGTGTGTACTAAATTTGCTTCTTATAACTGGACCTCATTTTGCTTTTTCCATATCTTACTTGACATCTTTCATTCTAAATCTTTATGACCTAGAGGGATGTGTGGTTCTGCTGTCACAGGGTGATACTCCAGAAGTTCAGTAGCTACCCTAATGTGTGTACAAAGCCCTTCTGCCTGGGCTTCAACTATCACTTAAGCTGTCTTTCTTTCCTCTATTTCTCCTTCTCTTCCCTTTTTCCTCCCTTCCCTCCCTAGCTTTATTTTCTATCTTTTTACAGAGTGTTCTTAAACTACTCAAACCATCAGGGAGTGGGAGGATGAGAATAAAGCACACACATTCACCTCATGCTTCTTCAAACTAGTATATAAGGTATCTCATTAGTTACCAGTATTTTAGATTGGGCTCATTCTTAGTGTCATTATAAATGCAAAAGACAAACAATCAAATTCAGTGCTTTGAGTTTATGTTTTTTAATCTGTCATGGTGACACCAGTAGAGTGGAAAATTAAATAATTTCTTTTTGGAGTATTAACAATAATGTATATAAACAAAGCACTTATGTGTTAATAAGAGCTATATGTTGTAAATAAAAGAAAACCACTAAAAGTTAACTAGTTAACTTACTGCTAAGCTTTAACTTATGTGTTGAAATATTTCTATGCACATTTTTCTGTTGCTCTTTTTTAACTGCTTGAAAATGAAATTTCAGATACTTGGGTTACCATTGGGATACTGAATACTCATTCAATATGTCATGAACTGCTAGACATTTTATGTTTAAAATGAAAAATGTGGGTAACACTTTATTTTAATGGTATATTAATTAGTTCCAAATTATAATGAAAATCCTATAGCAGTGAATAAAATATGACATCTACATGAATTTGAAATAAATTTATTATGATCAGTATTATCACAATGAATACTAAATGAATTAATAATGATGAAAGACTGGAAGTATTACCAGTAATGTAATAAAACATCAGGAAAAAGTCAGAACTTTCCAGTAATTTCATCATCCATTGGAAATAAGCACTATCCCCTGTATGACACTATTCCTGTGTATCATTCATGGCTAGAAATTAACTGATAATAAATATAAAATGAGAAAAGAATGTGTGGCTAAATATCTTTACAGTAATATGCAAAAAATGCTTTTACATATGAATAGACTGCTTAGTCTGATCTGTGTATATTAGATATTAATAAATAATAATGAAACCCAATAATCTTTCCTTCTTTCATTATTAGATAATGTGAAACTATTTTAGACAGTGGGAATAAAGTCCCAGTATTAGCTGACTTACGCTACCAGATATGTTGATATGTAAAATGATTGTTGTTTTACATATAAATTCACTGTTTGGTCTTGAGGTCTTACCTGCTGTTCTGATCACTACCCGAGTGCCTAAGGAGAGACACTCGATGTTGAGAACGGGGACTATACTTGAGAACTGGAACCCTATTTCTGGTTTTTGTTGATAGCCCTCATTATTATTACTATTTCACAGCTCAGTGGAAAAGGGGTTGCAATACACTAGGACCACTAGATCACAAAGTAGGAGTTCCCATACTTCATCACACCGATTTCTATCAGTGCATTCTAAAAGTATTTGGATTTACTTTCCTTCCTCTTTTTCACTTCAGTTCCTGACAACCCCATCCGAAAGCCATCAGCAATGGGCGGGGATAATAGGTGTCCATGCTAGCTAGGTTAAAGGGGTGCAGGATCACAGGCGCTGTAGGCCTGGGGTCAAATGTCAGTGCCTGAGCTTGGTAAGGACAGAACTCCCTGGAGAGGAGACTTGGCTTCTGGGTCAAGGAAAGGTGAGGAAAGGGTCCACGTACACGGGCATCCAGGGCAGGGAATGAGAATCCACGACTGACGCAGGTGGCTTCTGGGCATCTGGCTGGCAGGGATGGGATGGTTTACAGCATGGAAGGGTAGAGACTATGCTGGGTGAGGAGGACACCCAGGTAAGAGGGAAAGTGCAAGGGACAGGAGTTTGGTTACGTGTACAGGGATTAATCAAGAAGTACATGAATTGAGAATAGTGGGAGCCAGGATTCTCCCTGTCAGAAAGGATAGGGATGGGCGGGCATGCTGCAGTCCCAGGAGGGACAGGGGGATCCCCAGTGTCTGGGAGATGGACAGCAGACTGGGCAACACAGCGAGACCCTGTCAGAGAGAGAGAGACAGGGAGAAGAACGAGGAGGGAGGGAGTGGGTGGAAGAAAAATGGAAGGAAGGACTGGGGAAGAAAAAGGAAAGAAGGAAAAGAAAGAAAGAAAGGAGGAGGGAAGGGAGACTACTGTAAGCATGAAAATAAGGAAAATGGAGTTTAACACCCTGCATAAAATGAGAGACAAGAGTTCATTCTGACATCACTAAATTTAAACATTGGATGAGGAATGAGAAACATATAGAGTCTGAAGGTACTGCTTTGAAAAACATTTATTGATTGCAAAGGTAAAAAAAGACCATTCCAGTGAAAGCCTAGCAGACATCACCTTCATAAACTGATCAAACTAATTCTGTCAGTTATGGGGCAAATCAAAACCATGATGTGTCTGGTAGGATACAATGAGATCACTGCATCACTTAGGAAATGCTCTTTTTCTTTCTACCAAGAATTGAACTCAGGGCCTCATGCATGCCAGGCAGGAGCTGCACTGCTGAGCTACATCCCTAGCCCGAAATTTTCCTGCCAAAAATATGTAACCTGAATCCAATCAAGAGAAAAACCAGACAAACCTAATTTGTGGGATATTCTAAA